ATATTACTAAAAACTTGAACCAGGAAATTGTTCAAGTATTTTCTCAGCAATATAGAATATTATAGCTAACCCTAAATTCAATCTCGTGCTATCTCCAAATTCAATTTATAGATCGATTTCTAATTTTAATATGTCAGTATTTTATTCAAATCATGTTATTTGACATCTTCAAAGTATATAAATTGAGCATAATTTTAATATTTTCAAATCTAATTCAAGTTATACTGATTAACATGCTAATTAACACCCTCAAATTCAAGTCACACCATTTGACACCTCAAGTACTATTTGTTGAATTGTGAAGAGAGAAAAACTGGAGAGGGAGGGAGAGGGGGGGGGGGGGGGGTGGGGGTTAAGAATTTGAAACAAATGACCAAAAGATTAATTTGTCGGATTCTAATTTTAATTTGTACAAAATCAATTTAAACTAAGTCACCCCATTAACAACTCATAACCCTCCAAACCCAAGTCACACCATTAAAACACTCCACCACCACTACCACCTCGGCCCCTCTCAAATTCAAGTCACACTATTTGACACCCCAAATCTTGTTTGTTGTGTTAGTGTGTATAAGTATGTTTGTTTTTATTCTTTTCTTTGGTCGTGAGGTATAGTGTGCCATAGTAGATACTTTTGTGGAAAATTATATTTATTGAATTTAAAATATACTAAAAAAAGATGACAAGATTTGTCATTTACTGCGCGAAAATCAACCACAATATATAGTAGCAATGTGGCACTAAAGTACTTAGTAACTCAATAAATATTCTTTTGTGTTGTCTAATACATGCTCACACATAAAGGACTTGTCGTGCTTTAATCATTTTAACTACGTGAGATACAATTTAATCAATTAAATTCTAATCACCTATCAAATGACCCTCAAATACTTAAACTTAATGAAAATCTTGAATGAAATCATATTTTAAGTAAAATATCTATTATGTAACAAAAAATTAAAGTACATATAATCGTATAAGTACTTTAAACGATTATAGTGTGTTTTGTAGTAAGATTATTAACTGATTTTCTAGCTGATCTTTTTGTAACAATTAAGTTTATTGAAAAATAATAATTTCTTACAACATTTTTTTTTGTCGCTAAATAATCGTATAAGTAACAACGATATATGTGATTTTTTACAAATAAAATCTTACTTATGACAATAATTTTTTCTCTTGCATAAATGATTAGCTTTCGACAACAATATTATTTGTTATTGCATAACTTTTTTCTCCACAATATGTGTTGCTACAACTTTTTTTCTTATTGCTAAGAGTACATTTGGCAACAACATTTAAATATTACAACAAAAAAGATGTTGCGAATTCCTACAATCTTATAGTTCTATTCGAAATTTTCTGTAACATTTTATCACTCATATTATATCTAAAAATAATATTCTCTATATTACATTATTATTATTATTATTATTATTATTATTATTATTATTATTATTATTATTATATCTATTTTTGAAAATTTTAATTTCACTTTTAATTCTTACAAAATTACATATGCATTTGTCATCATGTATTTAACTAATTATTATATTTATTATTACAATTTTTAATATCAATATCATCTTATATTATCGATTAAGTATTTTTATATTTAAATAATAACCCTAAATACACTTTTAATCTTTCAAAAAAATTGGTTAAATTATGTTAACTTTAGCCAAAATTTGCACCTAATATTAAGTGAAAACTATATAAATTGGCCATAAAATTCAAATTAATTACAAGTTCATACCCAAACCCAAAGTTATTCCTGAAATATTATTTTTCATAAATAATTACAGTCATACCCCCATTCATTAAGGCTGATAATTTTTGCTTAATTGATACTAAATTAGTATCATGTAATGTATTAGTATCATTAAGATTGATATTTTTTGTTTAATTGATACTAAATCAATATCATATACTGTATTGGTATCATTAAGGCTGGTAATTTTGCTTAACTTGATACTAAATCAATATATACTGTATTGATAACATTAAGAAAAAAATTTCAAAAATTACTCATTAGGCAATGATATTATAAGAGTATATGTATATTGTTGTGGTATCATTAAAGTTTCTTGTTCAGAAATTTGCATTAGTAGACTATATATATATATATATATATTATGGTATCATTAAGGTTTCTTGTTCAGAAATTATACATTAGCGAAATTATCAGTTTTAATGATACCATATTGATTTAGTATCAGTTAAGTGAAATTATCAGTCTTAATAATATCAATACAATATATGATACCAATTAAGTATCAGTTAAGCGAAATTAGTTAGAGATATATAATATAATTATTTAGTGGGGTATGAATGTAAAGGAGTACAGATTTATAATTATTTTGCTTTTATGGGGTATTTGCTTAGTTTTCCCTAATTTTAACTCCTAAATTGGTCCAATTCACGACCCATAAAAAAAACCCGAAATACACCCCATTTGATCCTCGTAAACTTCGCCATTCATTCTATTTAAATAGACGATCACTCTTCTTTACAAATTATTATTTAAGCCTCACAATTATTTCTTAACCCTAATTCATTTTTACTTCCGCCAACCGTCGCTCCAACTCTCCTCTTTCTCTCCCTTTCAGTCGATAAACCCTAACAAACGTCTTCAAGCACTATCTATTCGCCTATGAATTTGTATGTTCTTTTTAGTTCTGAACCATTTTTTCACTTTCTTTTTCTCCCTTATCTATTTGTCGTGAAGATCGGATAAAAAGATACGTAAATCTGAGAGGAGGCTTCGTCAACAATAGATCCAAAAGAGGAAAGAAAATAAAGATATCGCGAAACATAAATGAAATTATTTAAATACTAGTTTAATGGGTAACACTATTTATATCCTCATTGAATGTTGATTGATTTAGTTTCGTTTGTATGATTTATTTTAATAATATTTTTTTTATTGCTATTAAAAAGGAAAATGAGGAAGGAGATTACTGAGTGGAGAATCGAACTCTCACCAACAAGGTTTTAGATAGTCAACCAACTTAGTGACTAAAATTTTCCTTAATACTGTATATCTTAGTCTCTTCTCATTTTATGTGCCCCTGTTTTCTTATTTATTTTCAACATGCTTTGTGATTTATCTCAATTCTGAAATTCTTAATTTAAAGTTCATACACATATACAAAATCATAGATGCGCAAAGTATCTAATATATATATTTAGTAGGCGTTTGATCATGCGATATCATATCACGATATGGAATCAGCATTTGGACATGCGATTTCACGCTGATTTCATCTCATGATCTCATATCATGTTATAGAATACCATATTTTTCAAAAATCATGATATGAGAATTCCATATCATTATTTGAAATTTTTTAAATACAAACTTGACCTACAAATTTATACTTTGTTAAAAACAACCCCACATTATATCTACTAAATATTTATTTCATATGTAAATAAAATTAATTATTCACATCATTACTTTTTAAAATTTATTATTCTCCTCAACATAAAATTTATTATTGCTTTCAATTTGGTGAATATACATGATAAAGTATAAGAATTGATTTGATGAATATAAATATAACGGAGGGAGTAATACTTTTTTGATCTTTCATAATAAAAGACCTTCTCTTTCGGCTACATATGAAAATGTTTAAAACAATTTAATATATAAAAGGACAAAACTAGTGATGTATGTTGATAATCACTACTTCTAATATGTTTGATTTTAGCATGAAATTAATGCACTGAAAATGTGCAATTGCACACAAGTGAAACAAGGCATGAACCATATTAATATAAACACACAAGTGAAAATTGTCATAACTTGTACAGTGTTACATAATTATTTGTGAATACCAAAGGGGTGATGAAATATTTATGGTCTATGAGCATGAAAATATAGTTACGAATGATATTGACCAACAAATTACTCAAAATAATAATGTTGGTTCGTCTTCTCGGTCATATGATCAAGAAATATAAGTCCAACGAGAGAAGATTGTTTGTACTATGTGGGAGGATCATAATTAAGACTAGTACACTACAATTTATGTTCAATTTTTTTTATTGAATTAAAGTTCGATCAATTCAAGTTAGATGAAACAATTAATTAAATGGAGAACAAATAGCTTTGTAATAATTTATTATGTGATTTTATAAATTTTTATTTATTTGATAAGATTGAATAAACAATTTGGATTATTTTTATAGTTTTACAGCTTATGGATTCTTATGTTTATGAGAAAATATGCAACACATAAATTTCATATTGCATGTTCAAACAAAACTTCAACTTCATTTCATGATTTCATATTATAATATCATATCATGATTTCATACCATGATTCCATATCGCATGGTCAAACGAGTCCTTAGTGAGAGAAATAGTTTTTGAGAGAATATTGGAATCCACACTCGGTGCTTTTTAGCATGACATTCAACTAATCACAATGCCTATATATACCCTTCTCCTACCTCGAGGTAGTAAAGGGTATATATATGCAGGTAGGAGAAAGGTATATATAGGCATTGGGATTAGTTGAATGTCATGCTAAAAAGCACGAGTGTGGGTCTTAATATTCTCTCCAAAACTATTTCTCTCACTAAGAGCTTGTTTGGTCATGCGATATGAAATCATGGTTTGATATCATAATATGAAATTATGAAATGAAGTTGAAGTTTTGTTTGGACATGCAATATGAAATTTTTGTATTATATATTTTCTCATAAACATAAGAATTCATAAGCTGTAAAACTATTAAAATATCTCAATTTCATGATTTCATATTATGATATCATATCACGATTTCATACCGCATAGCCAAACAAGCCCTTAGTAAGAGAAATAGTTTTGGAGAGAATATTGGGACCCACACTCGTGATTTTTAGCATGACATTCAACTAATCCCAATCCCTGTATATACCCGTCTCCTACCTCTTTTCTTATTAAATTCTAACTTCAAATATTTTTGTTCCAAAAACTAACATTTCATTTTTTTTCTCATACTTCATTTTTCATGGCTGAAGAATTTCAGGAACGCGAAATTCTTTTTCCTCAAGAACATGAAATGGAGCTTCAAAATTCTGGTGATGAGGAAGTAGAAGAAGCTGAATTTGGGTTTCAACTTCGGCGTTACAACAACAAGGTATCCATGATACGAAAAATAATTATGAAGCAAGATGTTGAGTCCACACCGATGAACAAAGCTTCATTGTTCATGGAAAAAAAATATAACTTTTTCGAAGATGAGTACGTAGATGACGATGATGAAATGGTACCGCCCGATATGATAATTAAACGGAGAATTATCAGAAGAATGATGTCATTTTCAATTTGCATCGGCTACGGAGGGACGCTCAGAAGAAGGAATTTGATTCAAGTAAGGGACTTAGTTCTAAGGATGATTGGTTTTATCGAATCATGACTTTAGAGTTTAGTCCCTCTTTTTTTAAGAAATAGTATGGAAAAAAAGTTAAAAGAAAAGAGAAAAGATTTTATTTTCTTCTCTCTTTTTTTTCTTAGTAAATGTAACATTGATGGATTACCAATTCAATTTCTCCATTACTCATGTAATAGAAAGTTGAAAATTTTGATGATGATTCAATTTATTTGATTCTAGAAAAAATTATACATGTTTGTTGTAAGAAAATTCAGGTTGTTATGGTTGAGTAGGTTTTTGTTAAAATGTTACTCCATATGTTTCTAATTATTTGTCCACTTTTTCTTTTTTAGTTATCCCTAATTACTTGTCCATTTTAACAAATCAAGAAAGGAAAAAATACTTTTACCTATTATACCCTCAATTAATTACTTTAAAAAAGATAGAACTTCTTGAAAAATCTTAAGTTTTTAATTCATCCACGTCATAATTAATAGGGATAAAATGATAAACTCACTATGTCTATAAGTGTGTTCTTAATTGGTGTGTCAATTCAAAAGTGAACAGGTAATTAGAGATAGAGGGAGTATAATTTGACATTACCTATGCCAATGGAGTAATGACACTATTTATGTTACATTTGATTTTTCTCACTTATGTTTGAACATCAGATAAAACCCAGCACAAACAGTTCTTCATAATGGTAAGTTACTTTCAATTCTTGGATTAATAATAGGGAAAATTGTATGAAATAACAAAATTATTAATTCAAATTAAATGTTATAGCCATAGTTTATTTTATTTGTAATTCGCAATAAACATCCCTTTTTTTGTCATCTAATTCGGTATACAATTAGTCATTTTTGGTATATAATTACTCATTCGATATACAAATGTATAAAATGTGTTTGTGTTTGTATAAAGCGAGAGAAAAGTGTATATACAAATACAAATATATATATTTTCGTCCTATACACTTATAATTAGACAAATACATATCTTATTATACAAATTACCATGTATAAATAAATTTATACAAAACTGAACAATTTGTATAAAATTGAATGTATTTAGAAAATTATACAAATCAAAAGCTCCATAGCAAACATAAAATTTGTTATGGAGCGCAATTATGGAAACTATAGTTATAACATACAAATATGATTTTCATGTTTGCTATATGTGAAAGTTGCTCTTAATAATATTAACATTTTAATTTGAAGCACCAATTATAATATAAGAATCATATTGTTTCAATTTCTTCTTAAACAAGAATTCAAAAAAATGATTTATATGCTTAATTTGATTTTTTTTTAAAATTAAGATGCTTAATTTCGTGATTGTTTTGACATTAATAATTATAATTTAAGTGTATTAGGTGTGATCAATCTTAAATTCAGCACATAAATCATGTGAATATGATCGATTTGTTGTTCCATGCTCTACTTTTTTGTTTGGATACTATTGACATATTATATACTTCCAAAAGTAAAAAAGATTCCAGTTAAAGATTGTTATTAAAATTTGTCCCAAATAAAATCTATATGGTGTACATTAGACATTAGTGGTATATATCAATATCATAATGATATAACAATACACAAGTGCGACGTTCCTAAGTTAAAATTTATTTTTGTTTCCTGTTGGTGTTATTAGCTCTCAATATATGTAGCTTTCGATTAATTAAGATTTACGTGGTGTATAATTTATTAAGAAAAGAAACACTCATTAATTCTTAATTTTTTCATATTCAACTATTTGATTAATGATAAAGATGTTCTATTTATTGCATCATAATTTTTTATATTCTCCTTAACTACGACAACCTAACAAAGTTTCTTCCACAAATATTGTTCAAACATATCTCATAATCAATGATTTTAAACTTATTTTCAAGGCGAGTTTTGAAACAAAATATACCAAAACACTCTAAGATATAAATAAAAGGTGTAGATCCATAAGGGTACATCTCGAATATAGGGTGTAAGTAAGCCTGGGGAATAAACTTCTCTAGAAAATGACATGTCAACAAACAATCTGAAATTTCCTCATTTTTACAACATATTAATTAAGAATGACAACCATATTATGACATATCAAGGACTATATATGGAATAATTTGAAATTGATTTTTTATCTTAATCGTTTTTTCTGTGTTTCTTTTCATGTGCGGTGTTTTATTATGAATTCTACTTGAATAAATAAATATATAGACCTACCAACTTAGAGTATTTAATATTACAAGGTATGTTTCTGTTACCCCCAAAAAAAAGGATCGTTTATATTTTAATAAAATAAAGTCTGATAAGTGTCCACATTTTCCTTTTAAAATAATATATATAGTGCAATACATTTTCAAAGAATATTTTTTCTTAAGAATAAATATTCATCAGCAAGAAATTTAGACTTAACAAATATTGAGTGATTGTTAGGAAGCAAAATGCACATCGTGCTATGTACATGGCAACTTCTTGTGGATATTTAACCTCATTTTGAAACTACTTTATATTATTTTAAAGCGGAAATGATAGTCTTGAACTAATAATAAACTTTTATCGTGAAATTTGCCAATTTAATTTACTATATAGTGCTCGGAGGAAAGAAAATAGAGAATAGTTAAGGGCTATATATATGTTTCGTAGAATTGGGAGTTTATAAGGGGAAGTAATATGATTCACTTTAGGTTAGGAATATGAGAATGACATTTTTATGACTGAAAATAACAAAGACATAATCAAAGTTACGTTCCATGAACTAAATTAAGAAATAATGCCAATCAATAGAATTTGGACCTAACTTGTGTTTTGACATTATGTAAATTTAGCTTTTAAATTTCATTGATAAAACTCTCTGACAGATGAAAGTTATCCACATGAAAAGGAGTAAGTATTTCTTTAGTAAAAAATATTAACAAAAGAAATGACACTGCAATAAAAAAAATATTTAGAAGCAATAGATATTTCTATTAGTATTCCTTATATTATATTACTGTCACTATACATAATATAGCAATTATTATATTATTATCACTAAATAATCATCACATAATCTTGTTCTAGCATGGACCAAACATAGAACCTAGCAGATGAGAGAAATTTTGGTGTTTATACTAAGAACTAGTTACGAAGATTCCGTGTTGTGCACAGTGCAAGGACGCAATATTTGTTTACAAATTTATTTTTAAGTGTTATTAATTAAACTATATTAAATCATCTCATTAAGTGTAAAATAAATATTTGATAAATATTATTAATATTGATAAATTATAAGTTGTACTGATTAAATGATTTTAAATTTTTCACTCTAAAATAAATTATACGTAATATATTTGTATAGTAGTAGATCATCTTTTTGTTTGCGCAAATTTAATGAGGTCCAATAAAATGTTCATGATTAAAGTATTTTTCTTCATCGATTGTTAATTTTTTAGTCAAAGTAATTACAAGATAATAAACAAATATATTTGAATAAATTTTTCTTAACTTACTTTTCACTTTTGAAATTATATTTGAATACATTATTTTTTCCTTCCAAAATATTTAACTTTCTAAAATAAGTATTTTTAAACAAAATATTTAAAACTTTGAATATAGATTAAGAGGACTGTGATATCCATGAAGCCATACAAGAGAGAAGCCCTCCCTACTTGAAATTTTCTTTAAAAAAATCCTATAGATACATATGAACGGTTGGGGTAACTTCAGGATATTTATTTTTATTTTTATTTTTATAATTTGTAGTTTTAAGAAAAACGTCAATTTGGTAGTAAGATATTTTATTCTTTTTTTAGAAAAACACCGTAAAGTACTCCTACAAAAAAAGCAAAGTTTGAAATCTTTTTGCAAAGATTTCTTAAGAAAATACTTGGACTATGTTACTAGAAATGCAAAATACTTGTTTCCTATTTAATTACGTCTTAATCACATACTTAGAAACCTCACAAAGTATATAATCGTACAGCCAACGATTTCTGAATTATGTTATCAATCAAACCAATTCCAGCAAAGTTCCAGTGTTGTATAAACTAAAAAAACAGCTAAGTTAGTTTTTTAGTTTAAAAAGAAACTTCTTTTGTTGATTCTTGTGAAACATTTTCCGGAAAAGTTTTTCAGCTTTTGCCAAATAAGTTAAACTCTCCCCTGAACTTATTATTCACCTCACTTACAGAAAAGTAGATATACACATTCATATCAGATAAAAATTCCTCGGGTTCGAGCCTGGGTATGGAGAAAATCCAATTGGGAGCCCTAATGGGCCCTATCGTGCACGATCCGAATTTAGTTGGAGATCCAATGTGGACTCCGGACATCGGGTGGGAAACCAAAAAAAAAAAAAAAAAAATCCATTCACAATGGTACAGATAAAATTGTTACTGGTCTTTGATCCTTTAAGAAACTTCAATATTCCGTAAACACATCTCAAATATGGTAATTGAGAAGACTAAAAATATGAGGTGGAGAAGAACCATAAGAAATGAGTAATAAAAATAGAAAACCAAAGTGAAGTACCTTCAAATTTCAGGCAGCAAAAGAAACGAAAAGATTTCCCAATCAGAGCTGATCCTGCATCAAAGAATTGAGACAGTTTTAGTTACCTAGAGAAAAAGAAGAGGGAAACTGTGAATTTGGCCTAAAAATGGCCACTCACCTAACAAAATGGAAATTTAGCAGGAGCTGCTAGCTGATTGTAACTCGTAGATATCAAGTTGACAATTGCCGAATCCAGTTTATACAAATGCAGGCGCCAGGCAGTGTAGTTACAAGGTTTAGACCTTACGACGTGCTGATAATTGTTTTTGCTTTGTTGGCTTGTACACAAACTTGCTTAGATCCATGTTACTAGCGGACCTTCAGTCAAAGGGTAAATTCAGAGATGACAGTCAAAAATCACAACTAAACATAAACATAGATGTTCAAAATAGTATTTACCTATTAGTGCTGGTATTCTTAATATCTTTTAGAGGGGCTCGAAGCCCACTGGCTCGAGAACCATTTGAGGTGTATCTAAATGATGATAGGACTGAAACAAAATTGTCCATTGATTTCTCTGATATTTGAGAATAATGTCCCAAATGAGAGATGTTGGAACCGAACTTCCCCTGTCCGTCCTTTGTCTCCTTAGTTGAATCATCTAGGTCGAAGTTGAAGTCACCTGAAATAGAAAGATGTTCTGATGTCTCTCCAGTAAAAGGATTCTAGTAATAGATAACCAACAAAAGCTTAAGGATGAAGGAGATTCTTGATAATTGTATGCAGCCTTTTCTTTGTAAGAAATGGTACAGGAAAAAAAAATAAGAAACTATCAAGTGTTATATTATCGCAAGGAACAGATCTACAGTCACTTGAGAAGCTAAGAAAATTATCAAATCGTCCAAATTACTTGAAGAGTCAAGTCGTGGAAAAAGCAGCACTGTCTCAAGAATATCTCCAATCTAGCATATAACAATTATACTAGTCCTAGTTGCAACAATTGGATATAAAAGGGCAAAAACAACTTCATATATATATATATATATATATAATATATAAGCTTTTTGCTTTAGGTCGCAGGTTTAAATTCCCAACTACACCTCTGCCTGATTAATGTGCTCACTAACTTGTTAGTTGATCTTTTAGTTCTGGCTTTACATTAATATACTGTAGCATTTTGGTAAGCATACCCAGCAACAATTGCTGCTGTGAAAAGAAAGTGCACAGCTCCAGAAATTTCAGCATAAATTAGGAGTATCAAATGTGGATAGACAATGATCGGAGTAAACTAATTTTCATATTGCTTTTGGCCTTATACATACCTTGACTGCCAGATGTGTCAGCCTCTAAACATTCACCACTTGCATAATCCTATAGAAGAAGAGCACATTAGATGCAACAAGCTGCAAATTTGACCAAATTTTTCATCAATTAGAAATGAAAGATGAAAGGAAAACACATCATGGAAAAACAACTTACAGTTTGAACAGTGTCAATGAAGGTAACCTTCCTTTTCTTTAATCTCCTTTCAGAGCAGTCATCTCCTGAAGAAGACTTGGGATTTGTATGTTCCATTTCAGCAGCAACATCCAAGTTGCCCTGAGAATTTTCATTTGCCAAGTTCTTCTGAAAATAAGAACTCCTTACCATTGCTCTTTTGTTCTCTTTCTGTTCAGTATCACCTGCAGGAACTAAAATGAGTTTATTGTCAGAGCCTCAGAGGAAGCATCATCCTTGATACAAAGCTTAGAATTCTGTATGTACTGACCATTTCGGGCAGATGGCTTGGACTGAAAGTAAGAACTTTGTGAAATGGCATTTTTAACTGCTGCTACGACTGCTCCATTCATTCCATCTGATATAGAATCATAATCATTCTCCCGAATGCTGCTGTGAGATTTATCATTGGCAACCACATTTATCTCACTCTTATCATCCTGAATATCTTCCTTCTTGTTATTCTTCAGAAAATAGCTGCTCCTCACTATCACTTTTTTTTTTGTTGCTCGTATCTTGTTCTCACTTAAATCCAGAGCATGCTCCTTATGCAATGTGATGCAGGGTTTACATATTGAATGCTGTAGTGGAACAGATTGTAGTCCTAGGCCATTTTCAGTTTCTTCCTCTACCAGAATTCCTGCTCAGAGAACACAAGGAAAGACAGTGTTTAACTGCACTTATTGATCCTCAATAAAATTCTGTATCTTAGTCTTTACCTTGACTTTTTGACTCCAAACACATGGAAGCTTTCAAGTGAATGTCATCATCCACCTAAGGAGAAGAAACTACTATTCAGAAAGATGCTATCAGAATTCCAATATGATACAAGAAGTTATTCTCAGTATTAACTGCAAAACCATTTTTGCTCACCAGAGGATCAGGCGAGGACATTGACAAGCTCTCGAATTTATAAGAATCGGCACCCTTTCTACTGTCTGCCCAAGGGCTTGAAACTCCAACCTTTGAATTCGGAAGAATAGGGCTAGTTCTTGGGGCCCTAAATTTCTGTTTTGCTTCAAGAGAAGCAGTGCCTATAATAAACGTTAAGGACACACAAACCTACCAATGAAGTATCAGAGAATCATTTACTATTGTGCCTGTACAAAAAAATTAAACTTCACATATCTCTCAACAATTACACCTCAATCCAGACTAATCTGGCATTGGCAATATGAATCCTACATCCATTCCACTCTATTTGGCCTAACATCTAGCACTGCATTCGAATGCCAATGGGGTGGGACTAACATAACTCTCATCGGAAAAGGATTTTACAAAATGTAAATTAACATAACTCTCATCAATAAAAATGATTTTACACAACTCTCAAAATGTGTCTGGATGTAAGTTCTCCACAATAGCTAGGAAACAACAACATACCCAGTGTTGTCCGGGTAGGGTAGAGGGTACCCAGACCTTACCCCCTACCTTGTTAGGAAGAGAGGTTGTTTCCGATAGACCCTCAGCTCAAGAAAAGTGTTTCCAAAACAGGTTTGAGAAATGCAAAAGTGAAAGAAGCTCCAATGAAAATACAAACTAATTGGAAATGACTATATGAACCCTCTATATCCATTCAGCCCTATTTGGGCCAATTCAATTCTATTATTGGTAAAAGATTGACCAAAATCAGAGGTTTTTTAAGACTCATACTTATCGCTGCACTGATATACGTCTTTAACCAGCCAAGAGACTCTTGTCAAACGTCAAACCTAATATAATGTCCATAACTCTATACAGAGAAAAGAAAAAAGAGAGATATTTGCAATATACAGATTTATGTGATAAACAGGAAGAAGATAAATGATCTATGTTCAGATAGATTTAGGCCTTTCCTCCTAAATATGCAAGGTACATTGCTAAAAGTTGTTTTGCCATAAACATGTGAAAAAATGAAGAGAGAATCATTGTTAATGATGCCTTGAGCTCCAAATGACAGTAAGAAGTGAAAAGCTAAGTACTTGTACAATAGGATACAGAAATAGTTGGTTAGCAGATTTTTCTGTGCAGGCAAATCAAGCTTCCTCCCTTCCACTTTGAAGTCATTCAGTTCATAAGTTCTGCTATCCACCAGTTCAGCAGTGTTGCATTCTTTCTGGTGAATTGTAATTCTATAACTTAGAGAAATATAGACTTGATATGAAGTATATCTAAGGTTAATAAAAGGAAAGAAACATTTGTCAGAAGTTACAGAGCGGCACACTATCTTCATCAAATTTTGCATGAAGTTGCAAAGAATATTTTCATTTGCATTGAAATGGATGAAGATCTGATAATGCTAAAAGAGGAAGACACGCAACAAGAAGCACGGCATATGGGAGATGTTATGCATGAAGAAAACCACTAAGTTTTCAAGCCGTCATGCATATCTTCACTAGAACAAGAGAGAAAGTCCATATATCCCTCAGAATGTGGCCTATATTCAAGTACTCTCCCTCTGTGCCATTTTGATTGACCTGCATCGAGTTTAGAAGAGTTCAAGAGTATTTTTTTGATGGATTTGGGGATCTTATATTGAGTTTGGTAGAGAAGGGTTTAAAAGTGTGAGTTTGAAAGTTGTCGTATCAACTTTAAATTAATCATAGTATTCATGTATTAATTAAGATTAATGGGAGAAGAAATTATCATTTTAGAAAGAAGTCAGCTATTTAGGAGGGACAAAAAGGTCAATGGAGGTGGATAGAAGGAGTGTTTTACCAAGATGGTTAACCATAGTCTGCCTCAAGTTTCCTTCAAACCTCAGTTTATTGGGAACATAATACTGCTAAAGCTAGAGCATAAATGCAAATAATGACATAGACTTGAAGGGGATGTAGGAATATCACTCAAAAAGTGATTGGTCTTCTAACTCAAGAGAACTGAAATCAAGAAACTTCATTAAAGAAAAGAGGACAAAAATTAAATACCTGAAATGGCATCATAGTGAAAGGATCAATGTCACCTTTTGCTATTCCTTGAGCTATTTCTGTAGGTATCAGCGTTCTCCTGGTTAAGGAATGGATCATAGAAAAACCTCCAACCATAATAAAGGAGATTGATTCTAACAAGCATCACAGTTGCATCATAAATAAATATGTAAGGATATGGGCCTAGGAAATCTAAATCTTGACTACCACAATCAGAGAGCTCGGACAAATGAACTAGATCTTCAGTCATGAGATCATAAACTCGTTGATGCTGGAAGGTCATAATTGCTTTTCTGAAAGATTCTTCATACATAGGAGAAACTGCAGCAGTATTGTACCTCAAGTGCTTAATGACCTGTAAGCAAACAAATTAGTTTCTATTATCATGCTCATGTAAGTGCTCAGTACCAAATGCAGGTCAATAGATAAGAGAGGCATATTGAGAAAGCAAACTTTGGCAAAATACATACAAATCTTTCTAAGAAACTCACTTTTCTAATGCTCAGATAATAATACTCACTTTGTCATAACTCTTGAACTTTTTTACAAGTGCATGAGCTTTTTTGAGCCCCATTCCAGGCAAGGACTGCAAATAGTCACAACCACTCAAGATGCACATCTCAAGAAGCATCTGCTTTGTGAAACCTGTTAAACTCAGTTCCCTATTTTGTTCCAACTTGGAATACCGAAACTCAAGACCTTGCCCAAACTTATCCATTTTGTAAATGATCTGGATTCAACAAACAATTACCAGGACTTTCATAACAAAGTACAAAAACATTAAAACAGCATAAAAGGAAAACTTTTTTTTGACAAAACCTGCCAAAAAAACAGCCAAAAGCTTACCCTAGGACAACCAAATGCTATTAAATCTGAGTCCTCGGTTATAACAGCATCAACCTGTTTGCTGATGGCCAAAAAGGTCATTTGGGCATCTGCTTCATAAGGAGCCACTACGTAACATACATTTTCCCGCTTTAGGACCTTCAAATGCAAATATAAAATTATGAGAAACAAAAGGCTGACTTGACGGCAGTAGTGAAATCATGATGGATTCAGTACCTGTATTAGATCGTGAGCCATTGAAGGTGATATATCAACAGCCTTCTGATAGCACTCATAAGCAGCAGTCATGTTTCCATTAGTTTCATGCTCTATTGCACGAGAAAGGTTTTCCTTCCTAGACCTGCAGGAAAATGTGTGAATTGCTTCACCAGTCACATCTTGAATAGCATGCTTGCAAAAACATCTTCCTCCATTTTACTAAAAATTAAGTAAAATATGTATTATTTTGAGACGACATAACAACCATAGATCAATTTCTAGACTACCTAACAATCATAGATCAATTTCTCAAATAGTTTTTTTTTCCACAGAGGAAGTATGAAGCATTGTGACTACTAAGATTGCATTAAACAAACTCAGAACTCCGGCAATCAGCTTTCCCCTTAGACAACAACACTATCTCTTGAAGATTGATCCATTTGACAGAGAAACTTAAGCAAGGAAATACAGCAATCAGAAATATTAATCGATTCCACTTGCAGATAAGACTTAAGAGATGTGTAGAGATAAAACATATATTTCCTCGCTGGATAGAAACCTTTCAAGCTAGTCGACATCAGTGATAGTCTGAGCTGGTTTAAGTGGAAAGAAGAAAGAACTTCATTGGCAGGATGATGGTAGATGGATGTCATTCTGGGGTTGATCACACCTACAGACGGACTGTGTCTCTCTTTTATTGGAAAAGCATGACGGAAAAGGTGGTGAATTATGTTAAAAAATGTGACGTGTGTCAAAAGAATAAATATGATTCAGCTTCCAATCCTAGATTACTTCAACTTCTTCCGATCCCTTCAGCTACGTGGTTTAGTATCAGTATGGACTCCATAAGTGTTGCCAAGGTCTCGGGGAAAAACCGTCATTTGGGTGGGTGGACAAATTGACTAATATGCCCATTTTATAGCCATTTCACATCATTATCCTGTAGTGGATATTGTCAAGCTATTCATGGAACACATACTTAAACTCCAAGGTATGCCAGAGGATATTGTAAGTGACAGGGATCCAGTGTTCACAAGTAAGTTGTGGCAGGTGTTGTTTGCTATACAAGGAGTGATTCTGAATACCTCTACTGCTAACCATCCTCAGCCTGATGGTCAAAACTAAGGTTATTAATAAGTGTTCAGCGACTTATTTGAGGTGTTATTGCTGCGACTCTCTTTCAGTGGGCGCACTACTTGTTCTTTGCAAAATGGTGGTATAATACCAGTTTCCATACTTCAACTCAGGCCACTCCTTATGAAACTTTATATGGGCAACTACCACCATTGCGCTTGCCATGTGTTGCAGGTGATTCTGAAGTAGTTTAGATAGACAGGATATTGATAACTAGAGAAGTCAAGCTGCATCTATTGAAATTCCATTTAACCAGATCACAACAAAGGATGGTGGAAGGCTAATAAAAAGTGATCGGATAGGAAGTTTGAGGTGGAAGATTAGATGTATCTCAAAATTCAACCATACAGACAAATGATTATGTCCAGTAAGCACTTCACCTTCAAGTGTTATGGACCTTATCAAGTTGTCCAGAAGGTAGGATATGTAGCTATGATTGTATACCTGCATATGGAAATCTATCACAAGCTGCATTTAGGGACCACATGGAGAAGAGAAACATAAGATGCAAAGGAGGAAGTTTCATCACTTGCCTCTACCATAACTGCCAACTCTGTAAACCTGTTTTATCGGGAAATCTTTGTGATGTAAATCAGTTTATAGACTTTGTTGGTTACTTGAGTTTTACAATAGAGGCAATGATATCTCTCTTCTTCTTTTTTTTTTGTAATTTTCATACATCCTCTAGATGTAAAATGTCAATAGAACTCCTATTAGTTAATCAAAGAAATTAAAAAGAACTCACAAATAAGACCAATCAAAAAGAAAAGAAACTCACAACTAAGAAGTTAAAGTTAGGAGTTTATATGTACCTTCCACGCTTGTTCTCCTGTTCAATCTTCATTGGTAAGGGACCTCCATCAAACACAAGAATAGGTTTGACACCATGATGGCGCAATAAATTCACTCTGTGCATGCAATAATCAATATGCCTAAAAGAACATACAAAGAAATAGATTGTCACGGTTTGTATTAAGCTAACCAAAAATATATATTTATGTTTTTCATCTTTTCAGCCATCAATTAGATTTCCATTTTCAGAGAAAGAGATTTCAAAGACGTTCAATATAGTGCAACATGAAAATTATGTGCACTTTCCTAAAGGTAGTTTTTTTTTTTATTACAAGATAACAGATTTTATAGAAGGCATCCAAAAGATGCATAAATTACAGATCATAAAAAAAGTACAAGACATTGTTAGCTCTATTACAAAAGCCTAATCTAAAGTTAAGGACCTAACAAAGTCCATGAAAGTTTCAGGGGGATTGACGCGGGGGGGGGGAGAGTCTCCAGCTACAACTCTAAAACTCTAGACTTAAGAATGTAGCTTAGGGAAGAGGTGCCTTCAAAGCATCTGTTCTTTCTTTCTGTCCAGACACACCAAAAAAATGCAAGCATGGATCATCTTCCATACTTTCTTGATGGGTTTTCTGACCTTCCATGAGCTCCAGCTAACCAGTGCATTACTTCTCTAAAGGTAGTTCACACTTCCTGATCTCATCTAACTTCAATTTTAATGTGAAATCCACAATATTTTGGGAGTATAATATTTTCCTAATGTGATCTTAACTTACAATTAATATTCTCTAAACAGACAACCCTATGTAGTTCCTTCTAACAGTATGTAAAACTTGTTTGATCTTTGTTCCATATGAACACTACTTAGCAGAATCAAACCAAGAGAAGAATATAATATAAAATGCATAGCAACAATTCTGTTAAACCCCAGTGCAATGATAAATACAAAAGCAACATTCTTTCCAAAAATATCTTGTTCAATAAATTGGTATAAACACATGGACTCGGATTTATAGTCCCTTTGCATTAATCATTAACTGAATCAAAATTTTGTTGTCCAAAAATTCAACTACATACCCACATTTACGTATTTGAGCATCACTTTTGAACAACAAAGACATTTTAAGGACCCCCATCATGAACATCAAGTCATAAAACAGTATAAAAATGAAACAAAAATAATAAGTGTGTGCCACAAAAGAAAATGGAAAAGAAAGCAACAACCTCATTATCCCTCCCCCGTTAAATATTTAATACCAATTAAAAAGAAGATTCTTGAACCATCAAATGATGAAATCGAAAACAACAAAACAAACAAATTATTCTACACAAAAAGAAACAGTTATTCAAATTTTCTTTACCCATCAAATATCTTTCGCAAGTTACACACAAGAAATTAAAAAGAAAAAGAAGTTGCAGAAATCGGTAAAAAAGTGAGAGAAACGAAGATGAATACTTGGTAGTAGGAATGCCTTTACAGAGCTCTTTGCTGCAAGAAAGTGCACCCTTGTGCAGCCAAGAATAGGTATCAACAGCTACACTGCAGCCATTCAAGTCTTTGATGTTTATAGGTAACATTATCGATTTCAAAAGGGGTAAAAGGCCTTGTATACCCATATTCTTGTTGTTAATTCAAATGGGTTTTCAAGAATTTCAGCAATTTTGAGAAATGGGTTTCAGCTAAAATTGCTGTCCAGCCGTAATTTCTGAGTTAATTTTACTCCATTTCGGAGGAGTGAGGGAGGAGAAAGAGGGATGGCGGGAAGTGCTTTTTGAGAGGTGAAATTTGGTGCTCTTTTTCTTTTCTGTTTTAACTTTCAAGCATTCTATTTTTTTCCTTTTTTGTGTTACATAATTTTGACTTCAAAATTTCCACTTTTCCCTCCCCCTTTATAAGGGAGGCGAATTCAGGGTGTACCAATATTAAGCATTCTAGCTCGGATAGAACCTAGGTTGTATGGGTGGGCGTTTTAGCATGTACGTGTAGTAGAAAACATCTTTCTTTGCTTTTTTGGAGTACTTTTAAGGGAAAATGCATAAGTACCCCCAGCCTATATCCGAAATTCCAGAGACACACCTAATCTTTACTAAGGTCCTATTACCCCCGAACTTAATTTATCTATAATATTCTACCCCTTTTCGGCCTACGTGGCACTATCCTTGAAAAATTTGTCAACCTGGGTTGGGCCCACAAGATAGTGCCACGTAGGCCAAAAAGGGGTAGAATATTACATATAAAATAAGTTCGGGGGTAATAGGATCTTAGTAAAGGTTAGGTGTGTTTTTGGGATTTCGGACATAGGCTGGGGGTACTTATGCATTTTCCCTACTTTTAATCATATTTAGTTGTGTCAATTTCTTAGATGGGAAAAGGTATAAATTTCCCTTCAAATTTGTACCGAAAAATCAGTTTCATGCTTCAACTATTATGAGTTATGACGACCTATTACACACCCTTACTATTTAAAAGTAAATTTAATACCACCTTGAGACGCATCCACTCTCACAGTATATGGTGTATTACACTCGTTGCCACATCAGCGTCACGTCAGCACCAACTTAGAAATTATAATTTTTAATTTTTTTTTCTTTTCTTTGTTAACTAACTTTTATTTTATTAACTCTATTTACACTAATTAATCCCTAACTAATTATTAAAATTATCTAATAATCATATCTTCTTCCAATCTATATCCTATCCACTTTTGCCTCTAATCTGACTAGAAAAATTATTCATTTGAATTTATATCACAATTCTCTTTGTCTTCTTCCGCGAAGAACAATCAACCCATCACCACCACAAACCTACCTCCATAATGTCATCCCCTCCTCTTTTTCCAACAGCCAACCCATCTCCGACAAAGAACAACCACCAAACAACTATCTTAGCCACCATAAACAGCCACCCCAAAACTCCAAATCAGTCATTGACAAACACCGAATCAAATCCCTTTACCTTATCCCTTTTCGATTTTTTTGCTCTTAGTTTCAGTTGCAGGTGTTTCAGCAAGCTCAAAGCTTCAACCATGGATCTAATGACGTTTCAATGAACTTTGTTTTTCAGATCCATGGCGTTTCAAGCTATGACATATTTAAGATCCATGAGCTTCGTTTCAATGAGCTTCCCCCTCCAACTTGAGTACAAAAGATGTTTTTCAGATCCATGGCGTTTCTAGTGCAGATTATTTTGTGCTTCGACCCATTTTAGATCCATGGCATTTCAGTAAGCTTTGTACAAACAATTGAAGGAGAAAGTGGAAAAATTAGGAGAACAAGGTCTCGAATTTCTAGAATTATTGTGAAAATTGAATTAAAAAATTATTCTTTCTAAGTATAATGATGAAATTGAGTGAAAAAATGTAAAAATGTGATAAGAAAAAAATGAAATTGAGTGACAAATTGTAAAACTGTGCTAAGAAAAAATGAAGAAGAAAAATTCTGAAGGAAAATAAGAGAAGAGGAACATTAAAAAAAGGAGAAAATGGGGGGGAGGGGGGGTTGAATTTTATTTATTTTTACTTTATTTTCAACTCTAACGCGCCTAATTTATTTTTATTTTAAATTTTATTTCTACGTCAGTTTTGGGTGGTATTAATTACATTTTGAACAAGAATAGATGTGTAATAGGTCGTCATAATAGTTGAAGCGTGTAACTGACTTTTTGATATAAGTTGAAGGAGGGAATGTATGCCTTTTTCCTTTCTCAAATAGATATACATAGATATGTACGTGTATATATATATATAATTTCGTGAAAAAGCATAAATTACCTCATGAACTTGTGCCGAAAAGTCAGTTACACGCTCAAACTATTGTGGCGACCTATTACACACCTAATTTTGTTCAAAGTGATATTAATACCCCTTTTGAAGACAATTTCAGTTGTGTAAAAAAAAATGTTGTACACGCGTTTTCATACATAAATAATATTTATTTTAATTTTTAAAAACATTTATCTCTTGATATTTTCTTAAACTTTTGCAAAAGAATAAAGATCTATAGGCATCTTCCTCCTCTCACCATATATTTCTCTTTTTAAATTCATTTCTTCTTCTTCTTCTTCCTCTCCATTGTTCATAAATTGAAGGAAAAAATAAAAATTTGAAGAGAAAATAGGAATCAGTAAGTCAATTATGAAGTTAAGAGATGGCGGCGGCGATAGGCGATGGGCAACACCATTGTTGCAGGTGGAACAAATAAAATTTTCAGATCTGTAAAATTCTTTAAGAATCTTGATAACTAGTATGTAAATCAAGCATTTCATTTGTATTCTTCGTGTGTAATGATTAATCAAAAATGCTATTGATGATTTGAGACATATAAATGAAATTGTGGTGATTGTAGGTAGTGCTCCGGCGAGCATAGAGAAGACAAAGTTGGAAAAATCATTTTCTTCTATGAACTTTTGATAAATTTAGGCAATATAATCATGAATTTTATGCATAAAAGTTATATGATTTCAATAGAAATTATTATCTTTCTCGTGATTATTTTTCGGTGGTCTTCTCCGGTGAATCCTCCGGCGAGTTCAAACGGAAAAATCATGAATTTTAAGCTGAAAATTATTAACTTTTCTTTGGAAGTCATCATGTTCTCCACTCCTTTTCATTTCTTTTTAGAGTTCCTCAAGGGTAGAGTGTTGGATGTGCTTCCATCAAACAATCAATGGTGACAAATGTTGTGATTCCTTGAGAAGAAGAAGAACTCAAAATTAAGAAAAATGTAAATGCTTTAAAGAAATTGGGGCCACCAATAAAAAGATTTTTTTAAAAAGAAATGTTTAAATAATTAATATATTAAAAATTATAATACATAATTATATAATAACCAATAAAATAGTGTCATGTGTTCAAATTTGTCATTCTAATATATATATTTTTTTCTTCTCACGCGCCTTAAGGAAGGCGAAGACACTTTCTTTGTCATGTCACGTTCTGAGGGGTATTAATATCATTTTGACCAAGATTAAGTGTGTAATAGGTCGCCGTAATAGTTTAAGCGTGTAACTGACTTTTCGGTACAAGTTTAGGGAAAATTTATGTCTTTTCCCATATAATTTTTTTTTAAAATTAATGGATGCGTAAACACTCCCACATATACATGTGGCATGTGGGTCTGTCTCTGCTTCATAAGATACTTTTTTTCTTTAACTATTATTTAGTTTGATCTTGATGATTTTTTTTAATTAAAATGAATTGATCGTACTTAGCTAAGACACATTACGTGGAGTCAATAAATATGTCAAATACTTAAAAAAAGCTATATCAAATATCATAATGCAAGTAAAAGTTTTTACAAAATGACATGTGGCATTGAATTTAATATTTTTAAAAAGCTCTATTTAAATAATTCAAAAAAAAATTATGAATATAAAACTTATTTTTATTTTTATTTTTTATTTTTTATTTAGCCCCCCTCCGAGACCCATTTCCTCTTCACTGGTGCCGGCGGCAACTACGACGCCAGCAAATCGTCGCCCTACCTCTTTCTTCTCCTTCATTCAATTTTATCCTTTATGGTTTCTGTGTAAAGATGCAATTTGGATTCTTTATTGAACAGTTCAAGTGCTAGTGAAATAATGAAAGTTTCTAATTAGCTAATACTAGAATCGATCAATTTTCTTCATATTGACAGCATCAAATCTCTTACTCATTGTCTTCATCTTCTTTCCATTAGTAATTATTTATCAAAATTGCAAAATATAATAACAAACTTTCATCCGAAAAATTAATTCATATTTTTCTCATCGAAATAAATGAAGATTCGCCGAAATGGGGTGCAGGGAATGGGGTGGCATGTGCGTAAGACACACTACAACACAATCTATTTTTAGCTACAAATTCGAAAATCGTGGCTATTATTTAGTAATAGCTACAAAAAATTTAGTTTTATAGCTATTTAAAAATTAGTAAATTTTCTTAGCCACAAAAATTAATTTGGCGAAGTTAAATCCTCATTTTTGTTACAATTGCTAATAATTGTGGCAATAATTATATGAATAGCTACAACTTTATTGCTACAATTCAATTTTATAGCAGGTTAAAAAATTTTACCACACAATAAAAGTTATTGTAGCAATAGCAACTTTTTAGCCACAATAAATTATTTGAAACAAAATGATGTAGCTAAATAAATATTTTTGCTTCAAGGTATAAAAATTTGTCGCAATAGTTAACTGCTATAGCCACAAGTATTTTGCTATAGTAAAATTTTGTAGCTAATGATTTATTTTTGCCATGAGTTGAAATTTACCATAGCAATAATAACCTTTTAGCCACAATAAATTATTTAAAATAAATTATTATAGCTAAATAAATATTTTTGCTTCAAGTTGTTAAAAAATGTGGCTAAAGTTAATGATATAGCTATAGATTTACTGCTTTAATAAAATTTCGTAGCTAATTTTTTTGGGTCACATGTTGAATTTTTTTGGTATCAATGATAATTATTTTATCCATAAAAGTTTAATTAAAACAAAATATTATGGCTAAGTAAATATTTGTTTTACGTACTAAAAAGCATGAAAATGGTTGGTTGAATAGCTATAATTATTTGTCAAGACGAGATGATATAGCCACAAATATATCATTGTGTTAAAATTTTGTAGCTTATAATTATTTTTTATCACGGGTTAAAATTGTTGCAACAATAATAATCTTTAGCAACG